GGCAAAACTGGACAGCTACATGTAAGAGAATGAAACTGGATCACTGTCTAACCCCATACACAAAAGTAAATTCGAAATGGATCAAAGACCTGAATGTAAGCCATGAAGCCATAAAACTCTTAGAAGAAAACATAGGCAAAAATCTCTTGGACATAAACATGAGTGACTTCTTCATGAACATAACATATCTCCCTGGGCAAGGGAAACAAAAGCAAAAATCAACAAGTGGGACTATATCAAGCTGAAAAGCTTCTGTACAGCAAAAGACACCATCAATAGAACAAAAGGTACCCTACAGTATGGAAGAATATATTCACAAATGACAGATCTGATAAAGGGTTGACATCCAAAATATATAAAGAGCTCATGCACCTCAACAAAGAAAAAGCAAATAATCCAATTAAAAATTGGGCAGAGGAGCTGAACAGACAGTTCTCCAAAGAAGAAATTCAGATGGCCAACAGACACATGAAAAGATGCTCCACATCACTAGTCATCAGAGAAATGCAAATTAAACCACAATGAGATATCACCATACACCAGTAAGGATCACCACCATCCAAAAGACAAACAACAACAAATGTTGGCGAGGTTGCAGAGAAAGGGGAACCCTCCTACACTGCTGGTGGGAATGTAAATCAGTTGAACCATTGTGGAAAGCAGTATGGAGGTTCCTCAAAAAGCTCAAAATAGAAATAACATTTGACCCAGGAATTCCACTCCTAGGAATTTACCCTAAGAATGCAGGAGCCCAGTTTGAAAATGACAGATGCACCCCTATGTTTATTGCAGCACTATTTACAATAGCCAAGAAATGGAAGCAACTTAAGTGTCCATCAGCAGATGAATGAATAAAGAAGATGTGGTACATATACACAATGGAATATTATTCAGCCATAAGAAGAAAACAGATCCTACCATTTGCAACAACATGGATGGAGCTAGAGGGTATTATGCTCAGTGAAATAAGCCAGGTGGAGAAAGACAAGTATCAAATGATTTCATTCATACGTGAAGTATAAGAACAAAGAAAAACTGAAGGAACAAAACAGCAGCATAATCACAGAACCCAAGAATGGACTACCAGTTACCAAAGGGAAAGGGACTGGGGAGGATGGGTGTGAAGGGAGGGATAGGGGCAGCAAAAAAGAAAGGGGGCCTTACGATTAGCCTGTATAATGTTGGGGGGTTGTAGGGAGGGATGTGCAACCACAGAAAAGACAAGTGGTGAATCTACGGCATCTTGCTGTGCTGAAGGACAGTGACTGTAATGGGGTTTGTGGGGTGGGGGGTACCTGGTGAAGGGGGGAGTCTAGTAAACATAATGTTCTTCACATAATTGTAGATTAATGATAAAATGAAGAGAAAAATGTTCAGGCAACATGATACCTTGTAATTTGACAAATAAATACCATTCTTTAAAAATAATAAAATAAAATAAAAAATTCAAATTGAGGAAGGTTTTCTTCAAAGCTGTCAAGATCATTAAGAACAAGGAAACACTAAGAAACTGTTGGACAAGAAGACTAAGGAGACATTATAACTAAATTAATGTGGTGACATGGATGGCATCCTGGACCAAAAAAGAGACATTAGAGGAAACATTAGTAAAATCCAAGTAAAATCTACAGTTATGTTTTTATTGTAGTAAAAAATACATATAAAATTTACCATTTTAACCAATTCAATAGTGTTAAGTATACTTACATTGCTGTAAAACAGATTTCCAGAACGTTTTTACCTTCAGAACTGAAGCTCTACACTTATTATTCCCTTTGCATCCTCCATCCATTTCCTGGTAACCACCACTCTACTTTCTATATTTATGAACTTGACTACTTTAGATACCTCACACCACCTTGGAACTGTGATTCCTTACAATTCTTATAAAGTGAAATAATTTTCTTATTGTTTAAGATAGTTTCAGTCAGAGTTCTTTGATACTTGCTTTGAAAACATTCTACTTAACACAAGGCCCTACTCTCAATGCCTGAGACATAAGAGCAAAGTGGCTCTCTTCAAAGTTCTTTCCTATTGCTCTAAAAATTAAAGTTTATTAGAAAAAATTTTGTTTTCCTCCTAGGCAATCTTTCTTTTCCACTGTTTGCTTCTACTCTTTCTCCTGGTACTTGTTCCAAATCCCCTCTACTTTTCTCATGATACAGGAGCCCAAAGCAGAAGATGGAGTTTTTGCAAATAATGTCAGCAAAAGGGATGAAGCAAATTAACCTATAGTGACAGAAGGCATATCAGTGGTTGCCCAGCGGGGAGCAAAGGATAGAGGTGGTAAAAGGGACACAAGGCATAGACATGTTAAGAGGCAATAAGAGGAACACAAAGAGGTACCTTAGTAGGTTACAAATATGTTCATTACCTTGTCTGTAGTGGTAGCTTCACATACGTAAGCCAAAACTTAGCAAAAATTATAAACTTCAAAAGAGTACAGCTTATTTTATACCAATCGCACCTCAATAAAGATAATTAAGGGTTTTGTAATAGCTTTACTAAAAGGCTTTTTTTTCTGTGCAATCTACAGAAATCCTTCCTGACCTTTTAAACTCCAGATAGGTTTGACTAGATTCTTCACTCAAACTTCACTCAATCATTAGGAATCCATGACCTCTTTTCAGAAATAAGTTATACTCACTACGGAATAAATTTCCAGTGAGCCAGTCACTAAAAGGTTTGCAAAAGTTTTATCAAATGCCCACTTCCTCTTTTAAGCTATGCTAAAATAAATATATAGATACATTAAAACTCCTTAAAACCCTGTACCTTCTCAAATCACACAATGTCCCTTTGGGATCCAAACTCTTCTATTTGCTGCTATCAATTCCCACCCACTCTTTCACTCCCATCTCACCGGCATTCACTAAATCCACAAGCCTCCTACTCTCTCTCATAAGCATCAAGAAAGGCTGTGGGCTGCTAGCCAGCTTTCTATTGAGATGAATTCTGAGCTCCCAAAGGCAAAGTCCACATATACCTTTCTATTACCTGAGAAGAGGAGACTACTATATTTTTATGCCTAGCAAGGGCATCAAACACCTAGAGAGATTCTTTCATAGTCTTTTCCTCTCATATGCCAAAAATCACAGCTGATTGGGAGAGGGGAATAAAAAGGAAAGACAGCTTACCCATGGAATAGAGGTTGTCAAAGCTCTGGTGCATGCGAATAATCTCATAGTAAAGTTCATCATAGCTGCTGGGGGTGGGCAGGAATGTGTCGCCATATGTGATAAACATATTAAATAGGTTCACAATCTAAAAAAGAAGCAAAAGTCCATATATAGGTATCACGCTATGAAAACCAGAAGGGTTTTATCAGGGGTATACTGTGGACAGCTCTTATACGTTTGCAAGAGCTGATTGTTAAATGCATAGGAATCTTGTGAGCAAGTTATTAAAAAAAGCCAATATTAAAAATTAACTTTATATAAACTTACAATTCAATAAATTATATTAAAATGACAGTAATATACAAAACTCACCACTTCCTAATTATTTCCTACATTTTAATATTATCTATGCTCTTGAGGTTAATTTATACCTCTGATATCTTTGTGGTGGGGATATCACATAATGGTATGTTACTGCTCATTTCTTCCCAACTCTGTATTCAGTGATGTCACATTAATAGCTTGAAATCAGTCATGGTAGGTGTACTTTTACCATGGATATCATCAAATGCTATACATAGGGTTTTCACCCCCCAAATGTTTAATATTTATGAACACACTAGGTAATATCCTGAGAAGACAGTCAAAAAGCACTCCTTCTACCCCAACTAACCCATCAGATAAGCAGGCATCTGTAATGTCCCTCAGAAACTAAGTGTAGCCATGATGGAACCACTCATCTGGCTGTGACACCTCTTGAGGCTTTGCTAGGGACCAACACTGAAACTAGAGTAACTAGTACAGTCTCTCAGCTAGGACCAATACTCTCATACATAGAAGTCTAACCTATATCTGCCCTTGCCAAACAATATTCTCTCATGAAAGAGCAAGAGTCCCAGGTTTGCCAAAGACACAGGTGATAGTGGGGGGTACCAGTCTAGAGATTTTGATCCAAAAGGAAAATAAAGGCCTGGTCCCCCTATGGCATAGTTCCCAGAACACCAGCTCCTGTTTCAAACCAGCTCACTGCCTTAGGGTATAGCTTCAGAAAAAGAAATATTTTTTTGTTACTCACCATAAGGGCTAATGTAAAAATGTTGTGTTTGGCCAAAAGTACAGTCTCATTTGACATAAGGAACTTCAGCAAATTTATCAAGGCTTAAAAGGAAAAAAAAAAAAGACATCAACAAGCTATTCAAAGCACAATCAATAAAGTTAAACAAAAACAGACTAGCTCTACAGAAATCCAAATAGGGCTAAAATGAATAAGTCACACCTACTGAGGACCCTTTAAAAGCAGGTAAGGTAGGTATAGTTGAAGAAAGCACTGACCTTCCCAAGAACCTGTCTACTTACCTGCCCGAAGGTTTTTAAAAATCTACTTCTTTTTGCCTCTTAGCAACTAACAATTAAGCTCAGAAATCTGACTATGAAAGAGACATGTTAGTGTTCCAAATTTACTCTCACATGGTTACTTTCTCATCAGATGTGTTCCTTACACAGGTCAATTCACAGGTACCCTCACCCTCACCCTAGGCTGCTAGGATCTCATGTCACCAAGTTTCAGTTATATATGTTTCCAAACATCACTGCTATGAGAGACATCTTTCAATTCTAACTGGTCGCCAGATGCACCAGCAATACTGGGCTTCAGCTCTGGATAGGAGAGAGCTCATGAAGAAAAAAAATGCTTAACTGTTCTAACTCTTCAAACAAAACTGCAACTTATTTTGTCCTCTGTCAACTATGACAACATTTACTGAAAAGGTCCCCTTTATGCCCAGCAATCCTTAATGTGGAGAGAGATTGCTAAAGCCTAAACAATCGCAGTAAAGAGTCCCTAGGTTAATAATGCAGCTTTAAAGACATTTTTGCAAATAAATATTAAGCAAAAATAAATTATTAGTTAGCTTGTACTCTTTCACCCTGGACTGTGAAATGAATCCTGCTTCTGTGCCCATCATGACTACTGCCCCTGTACCTACCTCCCCTACTTGATGGGAAACTCAAAAGAAGGGGGTCAGCAGCTGCAAGCCATCCAATGGTCCTTCTGTCTTCTCCCCTCAATCCTTTCCCACTTTCATAGACAAAAAAAAAGGCTTGACCTCTCCTTTTCTATGACCCTATAAGCTTCTTTGCCAGCAAAGAAGTCCATTCTCCCATGCTGTCTGAGTTTTGTGTGAAGTTTACTACTCTTAAAGAAGAGATGTGAGCCTTGATTTGAAACAGCAGGGAATGATGAGTGGGAGTAAGACTCTCCAGACACTTGCTGCCTACCACACAACACCCCTCACTCTCACTCTTCTCAAAGCACAGGAACAGTAAAGAAACAGCAGGCAAGGAAAAGTACAAGAGGCTGTCTACGTTCTGTTTCTAAAGCCTGGATCTTCCCTTCAAATAGCAAAAAAAAAAAAAGCCTTGCAAGAGATAAAGGAGGTAAGCATCCTCATTTATGAACTCTTCACCCTGGCTCCGAGTCAAGTTCTGTGAGGTTTCACAATGGAAAGGCAAATGATAGACAGCTGGCCCTTTTGATGCTGTCTGTTAACAAGTGATCTGTTGGACTGGACCCAAAAAAAGCTCCATGGGAGCCCATTCTGGATCACACAAGCTCCTTAGCTCCTATAGGAGCTCAGAGAATGGACAGAACTAGTTAAAATCCACATCAAAATGACTAACCCAGCCCACCACATCAAAATGACTAACCCAGCCCACCACATCAAAATGACTAACCCAGCCCAAATCTCTCTCCTTAATGAAGATCATCTTGCTGAGTAATTTAAGGGCTACCCACACCACCCCTTACCCCCAGAGCTTAGACAAGCCCTGTTAATGGATAAACACTTGACAGTCAGACTATCATGTGGCACTCTGCAAAACACAATGGCTGGGGAGAGATAAAACAGCTTTTGTATACACCCAATCAACTCAAGCTTCTGTCCCCAGCACACACAGCACAAAGATGTAGACTCAGCAGTAGTTAGGTGGTAATTAAGGGGCAGAAAACCTGGAGAAAAGGAAGTGGGAGCAATGATTTATTGCAACTCTGGTGGACTTCAACTAGTCTTGATCTCTGGGATTCAGAGTCAGGGATGACAAAGTAGTAAATATGAGGGGAGGAAGAGAGCAACTGTGGCACAGGCCAGGAGGCAACCTGTATCCCAACTGCCACAGACATCAGAGCCAAACAGTAGTAAGAAGGTGGGTCCACCACTGCAATACTGTGAGAATCGTGCCAGGAGTGGGACTGCATTCTGCCCATGATAATTCAGGTCACACCCCTCTCCCTTCCAAAAAAAGCAGGGTTTTCTCACCTAGAAAAAAGTAGTCATTCTCTATAGGGAATTTAATGGACAGCCAAAAATGAACAAAGCCTCTGACATCAGAGACCACAGCTCCTCCTCAAAAGAAAATGCCTCAAACATCCCATGAAATGGTGCTTTCTTCCTTCATCATCTCCCCGACTTTGCACTCACTCTATCAACTGTTTGGTGTTTTATATATCACTACACACATATACATGCACACATATTGTCTTCTATCCTCTGACCTGATGGGATAGAAGTTCTAAGTCTGTGAGACTTCAGCATAGCTGATAGGTCATTTAATCCAATTCCCTCATTTTTGGATTAGAAAACCCCACCACCACCACTACCCCACCTAGCTAGTGACTAAGCTGGGTCTAGAACCTGGTCTCCTATTTAGTCTTCTACCATTCCATTAAGATAAGATTAACAAAGGTGCCAGGTGGGGTTAAATGTTAATGCAAGGGGAGGAAACCTTACATACAAACAATACACTTAGATTTGCTGACTATGCTGTTACCAACACTTCTCTAGACTCTGGTTTATAACTTTCTCGATCTACTGGCTGCTCCAGGTTATTTTCATGTTATTTGGTCCCCATTTTCTCTTGGTCCTCAACTACTTTTTATTAGAATACAGGTGTTTAATACCTGATAATTACCTTTCTACTACTCACTCAACATTAAAAGACTCCCAGTAGCTTTGTTCAGCATAAACCACCTCCACAGACCCACGACATCTGTTCTCATCTTATATCTGTTCCTTACATCTCATCTCTCGCATACCCTTGTCTCCCCTTTTCTGTTTCCACTTCCCCTCTAGTATCTTTAAAAACAAAATATTTTAAAAAGCACATAACTGTCAACTAAAACTATTCTTATTTCCCTCATTCAGGGTTGCCTCCTTCAAAATTTTGTACTGAACATGGAATGTGATTGGATCTGGACTTACACCCAAGATCCCCTTTTTTATGCAAAATCAGAACCAAAACAACAAAAAAATAGGTACAAACAGTTAACAGGCAGGCTTATTCTATAAGCCATTATGGTACAGAGCTATGTACAGGATTGAACTACAAACCAAAGAAAAGAATAGCTTCATGTCAGGGGCAGGTCCAAGGACAATAGAGAACTGGCGGTCAGGACTTTGATGCTAACACACAGGCAGGACAGAGCTCATGCTGGTGGCTCTGGGTTCACACTCTCCATACACATGCACTTTTAGAAAACTGCCCTTGATCCACTTGTCCACTTGGTGCCATCTGGGCACATGACCAGCCAAACTGTTCCAAGGGCAGTCACAGAAATAGCAGTACATAGAGGGAAGGGTTCAGATAATTATAAAAGATATGGGGTCAATTGTATAAGCATAGTATTATTAATTAGTCATATGTCTATAAGAGTTTGGCATCAAGTACAATACAAATTTGTAGTCATTATGAACATAAGAGCAGGATATGCTTTTTTATTCCTTTTTAATTTAACTCTATGGTTTGTCATGTTTCCAATTTTTAAATAATAGATTTTAAAAGGAAGTAGGGGAGAAGAGGCTAACACGAGCTCTTGCTCACCAAAGACTTGACCTTCAGTCTGACGTATTTCCAAAAGAGAAAAGGCCTTTATTATAGAAACCCACTTCTGTGTAAACAGTTTTCCCATTAGGTGAGCAATGACTTCTCATGCCCACAACACAGAATGGCAAAGCTTATTTCAGAGAGTATCCTTCTGGATGAGGACAAACTTGGTGGTTGAGACCTTCCAGGCCTTAACAGACAATTTTCAACAGCCCCCAACCTAAACAGCTCCAGGAGTGGGCTGCCCCAAAATACAAGCTACAGACAGACATATCATATGGAGGAATGCATCATATCTGCCTGCTGAGAGACAACTACAAGTCAATAACTGTACCAGGAGCTCACACAAAGTATCTCAAACCTTCCTCTTTTCTACTGCCCTTTACCTGATACCTTAAAAAGAGACACTTAACTATAGGAATCATCTTCCCCAAACTCCCCCATTCATCTCTTTTCAAAGGCAGAGGCACAACGGTCATAAATGGCAAGAAAGGTAACATTTATTAGGTGCCTGCTTGATGCTAACTAAGCATTATGTAAAGCACTTAATGTACATTATTCCCAGTGAATCCTCTTACCTATCCAATGAAGTAAGTATTACTGGTCCCAATTTACAGATGACCAAACTGAAATTCAGAAAGGTTAAATAAGTTACCCAAAGCCACATAGCTAGTTGGAGCTAAACTGCATTAAGGGTAACATTCTAGGAAAAAGGCCCATGATTTCCCCCTGTTGAGGTCTAAGAATCTGTACTGGGTCCTCCTAAACTTCAATTTAAAATGCACTTATTGAAGGTAGAGAGCTAGTTCTCTAGAGCCAATACCTATATATGCTCTGCAAGACCATAATTTTAGTCCAGTAATCAGCCACTCATGTATCAAAGTGACCAATGTAAAAGACCTGTAAGTCCAAATCCATCTGCCTTGTAAGCATCTCAAGATTGCACTCTACAGACCTAGGACACTTTAACCTGCACACTCTCAAAATCAAGACATTGAAAGCAGACTAAAATAAGTATTTGGTTTTTGTCTTTTTTTTTAAAGTATAGTTGATATACAATATTATAATGGTTTCAAGTATACAATATAGTGATTGGACAGTTATATACATTATTAAATCCTCATCCTAACTAGTGTAGTGACTGTCAACACAAAAAGTTCTATAACAATAGTTATAGAACTACTGACTGTATTCTCTATGCTGTACTTTCATCATTGTGACTAATTTACATTACAATTGACATTTTGTGCCTCTTTTTCCCTTTCCATAATAACCACCAG